CATCCATCCATCCATCCATCCATCCATCCATCCATCCATCCATCCATCCATCCATCCATCCATCCATCCATCCATCCATCCATCCATCCATTTTTCGTCATGCTTATCCCTGCTGGAGTCACAAGGGGTGCTGGTGCCTATCTCTATCTTTTAATGGGCGAGGGGTACACCCTGGACAGGTCGCAATGGACTGGCGACTATAATCTAAAAGTTAATTCAGTTCAAAATGTCACGCTTTGTTGTTTAAAGGATTGATTCCACACAAAGATACGTATGTATGTAGATTTTTATTTATTTTTTCTTCATGACCACTGAATTGAGATAATAAAACTCAAAATTCAGAACCGCAACTTCATGTACTATAAGACTTCAACGATTGGTCAAAGTTCCTTCTGCATAAATTACTGCATAAATGTGCTGTGGCCGTCCTGCTTTGGTTTCTATTTGGTAATAAATGACTGAACTCTGATTTAAAGCAAATTGATGTCAGTTAGCCACTTTGTTAACAGTCTTTTCCTTCTGCAGTTCGTCCTTCCATCAGACGCAGTGAAGACCACAGTAATGATGTCACAGTGACAAAAGGAGGCGATGTGACGTTACATTGTGCTGCAGAAGGCATCCCACGACCCACGGTGACTTGGCTGAAGGATGGACGGCCCATAGAGGACCAGCATGGTGCAAAGGTCCTGAATGAGGGCAGGTTGTTGCAGATTAATGATACTAAGGTGTCAGACACTGGACGTTACACCTGCATTGCTGTTAATGTAGCAGGACAGGCGGACAGCAAGCATGACATCACTGTGCATGGTATGATTTGGTTTTGGGGTGTTTTTTAATTTGCAGTTTTTACTTTGATCTAGTCATTTTCTCACTGATAGTTTTATCCTGTTATTTTTCAGTCCCACCTGCTATAACTGGTCAGGGGCCGTTCCCAGAAAATGTGAGCGTTGTCATAAAAAACCCAGCTTCTCTAAACTGTGAGGCTTCTGGTATTCCATTACCCTCCATCTCCTGGCTGAAGGAGGGTCGGCCAGTCAAGGCAACTAATTTGGTGCGCATCGTCTCAGGTTAGTTTTGGTTGAACTGTCTGTGAGTTCCTCTTATTTGGATTTAATCTAGCAGCAGCTGTACAATAGTATGCATTTGTTTAAATATCTTATGCTGAACTCTTTGCATGGTTTCTATAGTTTATTATTTCAGAGCGCTTTGCAACAGCTATTTTCAACCATTGTAGCAATGAGTTTTGTGTTTCACCATTTGTTAAAGCAATACGTTACATTTGGATTTAATTAAGAACATTGACCCTCCCTTGTGTCAGAGAGCAGCAGCCGCCACTGTAAACAGTGCAATGCTGTTGCAATGCAATGTCCTGATCATTCAGACCGAATTCTGTTTACAATCACATTTAATAAGCAGGATGTATGAAAACATCAAAAAGTTTAGATTTTAGAGAAAAAAAAATGCCATCTGTTAGGTTTATTCAATGATGATTATAAAATTAATGTGTGTTCATATGAAACAAGTTAGAAATGAGATGCTTCACTCTGTCTCATGATTCAGTCAGGAGACCACACTGCCTTGTGGCTCAGTCAAGAGGGGAGCGTCCTGTCTTATGAACTGATCAATTGTTCTGTCAGAACAATACTCTGTTTGTAACCATGTGTTATGTTCTGTTAATAAAATGTTCTGCAGAGGAGGTCCGGGGGGAGACTGCAACTGTCTCTCTTCCTGCAGGAGCTGTATGAAAATCCCTTACAGTGTATTTCAGTTCTTCTTTTACAAACCTACATTTTTGAACCCAACACCACGCACTTAAAACCTTTTCCGAATAAGCTTATTAGCCTGAAGAGGCTTCGTATATGTTACTAGCCACAACTGGGAAAAAAAAAAAAAAAAAAGTATTGTTTCCAAAAGTGGGATCTCCTGACTGCAGTACCCAGTCACACACTGCAAACATTATCTAAAAATTAGTAAACATTTCTTAAACTTAGTGTATTTACCCTTAATTTGAGCTGGTAAATAAGATGATTTGCCAATAAATGAGTATATTTACTCTTAAAATAAGATAATTAGATATGATGCACTTGAAATAAGACAACGCAATTGTTTTTCTTATTTTAAATGTAAAATGATTTGTTCCATCGGCAAAGTGTCTCACTTACCTGCTTAATTTAAGAAAAAAAATGCACAAATTATAAGAAAAACATGACTTATTTAGATTAGAATTTTTTGCAGTGCAGGCAGTTTATTTTCTTTGGTTGTTTTCCCCTCAAAAAGAAAAAAATAACATTTTCAAACAGCAGTAGGAGAGAATCTGCTTGTGCATAAAAAGAGAGCCAATAGCGTAAAGATGCGAATGAACTCATGCTTCGGATAGTTTGGTGCCTCATGGTATTGAAACTCCATGCATAGAATGTACAAATTGCATTTACATGTGTTAGCTTTAAATAAAACAGCATGTATGTGTAATTATTATGCATGGGCCCTTTTGGCAGAATTCTAATTTCAAACACATGATTGCATTATTTGCACATGATGTGTTCAACTTTTAGGGGGTCGTAGTCTACGTCTGCTGCACACAGCAGTGGAGGATGCTGGGAGGTATACTTGTGTTGCCTCCAACAGCGCTGGAGAAGAGCGGAAGAACTTCGACCTTGATGTTTTAGGTAAAGAAAGGACATTTCTTAAGGATTTTCAGATAAAAGTCACATTACAAACATCACAGTTTTCAAATATGACATGAATGAGTTTCATTTCAACGGAAAATATGAACAAGTTGAATGTTTCGTTGGCAGTTCCACCAAGTATTTCAAACGCCGGAACAGTTATGGATGCTAAAGTAAAGGAGACACAAAACATCACTCTCACCTGTGAAGCATCAGGTAAATTACCAACAGGTTGTCATTAGTGTAAGCTACATAAAAAAGACGTAACGTTTCAGCTCTGTAATTACTCAAATGCATTGCCAGGTAACCCTCCACCAGAGATTAAATGGCTGAAGGATGGACAACCGTTGGTCCCTGACCGACGACAGCAGATCCTGTCATATGGACGTTTCCTCCAAATCTTTGAGGCCCAGGTTGCAGACACTGGAAGATACAGTTGTGTTGCATCAAACAGTGCAGGGGAACAGAGACGGCATTTCAACCTCAATGTTCTGGGTATGTTAGCGCTGTAGCTAAGATGTAAATGATTCAGATAGGAATAAAGCACCTTGTGATGAAATATATGCAGACAGATGCAGATACACTGTTTTTCTGGACTATTATTACTAATGCAGGACTTTCTGATTTCCTTGGGAAAAGAGATGTTGCAATCACTCCTGAGCCCTATGCACTGTTCCAGTCAGTGGACCTCTATCTATGCCAAAAAAAGGGTGATTCAAAAATTACTTAGACAACCTTTATTGTCATTTTGTATACAAAATGAAATTTCATTTTGTATAGCTGATGACATTTCTTAAAGTGCAGCAGTGAACAAATGTAAACGGTGTGAGAGAAAAAAAGATTGCGCAAAAAAATACAACTTTCAACTTCAATTCAACTCAACTTTATTGTCAAATGTGCGACATGGTAAACACACAACACAGATGAAATTTCAGTCCTCTCAACCCCGCGGTGCATAATAAAATAATATAATGAACCATAACATAAAATAAAAATAGAAATAAAAACCTAAGATATAAAAATAAATATTTAAATATGCAAACAGTATGCATTTATATGGAAGTTCAGAACATTAAATATATATAGTGGAATTATGCAGTGTTTTGGTTTGGGGTGAAATGTGTGATGCAGAGTCTGTGATTTGATTTAGAGTTTTTAACAGTTCAGGTGTGATGGCGGTGGGGAAGAAGCTGTTTCAGAATCATAAGTAGGCATAAGGAGGGTTTGAAGCTGCAAGCATATCGGATTGTTCTTTTATTCCTGAGACCAAGACCCATTTGAAACATGATCAACAATCCTTTACAATTTAATCCAGATTTCTGTAAAAACTACAGGATATTAAACAACCAGAGCTGAATAAATACTTTCTCTATTTTAATTCTCATTATTGAAAACTTTACTTTTATTGTTTTGGTGAAATATTCCTAAAAATGTCCATTTTTAAATGACTACTTTTGCTTCCTTTGCCAAAGCACATAATGAAAGTCAGCTGCAGAACATTTCAAAAAGCCAAATTAAAATAAAATCATTAGGACTAAAATTATTATTAACAGTCTCAGCTTATATTGTAAAAAAGCTGCGTTTATATTAGTAATGTAACTCACAGAAGCTTTCCTAACAAGAAAAATAACTAATACTGCAACATACTGTAAAGTAATATATTTAATTCCCTAAAAATGTTAATGGCGATATTGATAATTTTTATTGTTTATTACTTCATAAGTATCTGTAAGTGTAAGATAATTTTCTTCAACAATTAATTCTGAAGAAGTGACAGTTTTGCCACAAAAAAAATCAATATTTGGATTTTTTTTCCTAAATCGTGTATTGTGAAAATGGTTTTATGATTTTTTTTAATTTTATTTTTACCATTGACACCAACAAATGAATCAGTCACATTTTGTGTGTTGTGGTTTAGAGCAGCGGTCCCCAACCACCGGGCCACGGACCGGTACCGGTCCGTCGGTCATTTAGTACCAGGCCGCACAGAAAAAAGTATATATATATATATATATATATATATATATATATATAATTTATCGACGATCAGTCTGAGTGATGTTTTATTTTGAAAAAGATAAAAAATTGCGGTATTCTCTCCCAATTACATCAGTCGGTGCATCTTTGCCTCTTGACACAGGTTAATTCAGTTCAAGACTCATCCTATCTATAACATCCTTTCTTTGTGAGGCGGGATTTTCTGCGGTTACAGCGACTAAAACAAAGGAGCAGACTGGACATCAGGAGCACACTTCCTGTGTCATTGTCTCCGATTACGCCTAGATTACGCTTGTTCTTTATTTTTATGCTGTTTGTATTTGATTATATGCCAGTCGTATCATTTTACTTGATCTTATTTAACCCCCCCGGCCGGTCCGTTAAAATAATATCTGACATATAGCGGTTTGTGGTGCAAAAAAGGTTGAGGACCGCTGGTTTAGAGGACACAAATGCAGAGGCAGAGAGGTTGAGGTTTCTTGTAGTTTTAGTGCAAACACTAATAACAGAGGCAAAATCCAGACCATACCAGAACCATGGAGACATCAGGGGAAAACACGCACAAGGAGCCAGGGAGAGACGAGGTGAGCAGAGAACAGCGACGACAGGACCAGCAACAACAAGGAACCAACAAGGAGTGACTGCAGAGGGAGAGTATATGTAGCTGACTGGGACAATGGCAGGGCTAACGAGCTGACAAGGAGCAGGTGTGAGGAGATAACGAGGGAGCCAAGGGGAAAGGAACACACACAAGAGGACAACAGAGGAAAACAGAAAAACCTGAGAACTAACATAAATCTAGAAACTACAACAAAATAGGAATTGAACCAATAAAACTAGGAAACATGGAGCAAAGTAAAGGATAAACGAAACCAAAACCATGACAGAATCTATGTATTTTAACCCTGTTGTCTGGTATTTTTGCCCTTCTCTTTGACAGTTTCTCCGACCATTGCTGGTTCAGGTCCTAACATTTCTGCAGAGGTGGTAACAGTGACCCTGAGCAGCCCCACCTCACTGCTTTGTGAGGTGCAGTCCTACCCCCCCGCTTTGATCACCTGGCTTAAAGATGGGGCTCCGTTTGAATCCGCTCGCAATATTCGAGTTCTTCCAGGTTTGTGCAGGATCTCAAAAATTTAGCTTAACATTTTAACATTGCGATATGTAATTTATCCTGCCTTTAACAGGCGGGCGAACACTGCAGATTCTTAATGCTAAGAAGGAGGATGCGGGCAGGTACACCTGCGTAGCTACTAATGAAGCTGGGGAGACTTTGAAGCACTATGAGGTCAAAGTGTATGGTAAGAGTCCTGCATAAATTTAACAACTCAATGATGACACAAGATTCATCCAACCCTTTTTCCCCCATTGAAGTTCCTCCACTGATTGATAAGAATGATATCCCCGGGGAGGGACGTACACCCAAAGAAATAAAGATAAAAACGAACAGCACACTGACTCTGGAGTGTTTCGCTCAGGCGTTTCCTACTCCAGCACTGCAGTGGTACAAAGATGGACAGGTAGGAATGCAGAATACTGTCCTTATTTGCATCTGTAAGACATTTTTTTCCTTTTAATCAATGAAGTGAAAGTATTTTTTTGTAGATCCTGTTGGTAGACAACCATGTTTCCATCATGGCCAATGGTCGCATTGTTCAGATCAAACACGCCCAAGTGTCGGACACTGGCCGCTATACCTGTATTGCCACCAACATAGCTGGAGAGGACGAGAAGGACTTTGATGTAAATATTCAAGGTGAACTGGTTGGACTGGTGCTCATTTTTGTGTTCATAAGGGTCAATGTAATAGAGATTTATACCTCAAATGATCCATTTTCTATCGTAAGAAATAAATACCAAAACTTGATTTGAAATCTACATTTTTTTTTTTGCAGTTCCACCCAGTTTCAACAGAGCCGGTGCTTCATCAGTTCCGGGCTCTGGAGGGGATCTTCATGATGTGATACTGAGCAATCCGATCTCTCTGTACTGTGAGACAAATGCTGTGCCCCCTCCAACCCTTACGTGGTACAAAGATGGACACCTGCTTACCTCTAATGATAAAGTTTTAATTTTACCCGGTGGGTCTAATTGACAGTAAAAGAAGAAACAGGAAAAAAATAACTTCTTTTTGTAAAGCTCATGTTTTTGGTTCTCAGGTGGGAGAGTGTTACAAATCCCCAGGGTACAACTTAAAGACTCTGGCAGGTACACTTGTGTGGCCATCAATGATGCAGGAGAAGACTCTATCCAGTACAATGTTAGAGTCCTAGGTGAGGTTTTTCTTTTTTATGGGAGAAATCTATTTTATGAGGATAAATACATTTGAAGTCGGTATGATATATAACAAGTAATAGAGGTTTTAAATAGTGATAGCAATTCATAACCTTTTAATTCACTTATGAATAAATATCGCGATAAAAAAAATCTCTTTCCTTCGCCATTCTTAAAATGGGAAACCCACGTTTGTAAAATGTAAAGTGATAAAGTGAGAACAAAACATAGAAAACTTCTGTGCTGTGTTAAATGAGGAAGTTATGTCCCTTTAAAAAAGGTTGTTGCGCCTCGGGGGCCTCCTCACCGGTTCTTTTCCTGGGAGTAAGTTATTTACTACTCTTAACTCAAACTGGGTAAAACCATATAAAAAGGACTATAAAACAGGAGTAAAAAATTAACAGAGTTTATTCCAGATCAGGT